ATATATATATATATTTAACCTTAAAGCCTATCAAGATATAATGAAGATTATTTATTATACATATTCGTTATTCACCTATTCTTTACATAATGTATGTTGAATGACATAAGCTGTCTAATATATATCATCCTAAGGACTCTTACAAACAAAATTATTATTTTTTTATAGTTCTCTCTCTCTCTCTCTCTCTCTCTCTCTCTATATATATATATATATATATATATAAAGAACTTTCTTTTGCAAGTGTTATAAATAATAATAGTAATGATATTATACGACAATGAATTTTAGAAAAATAATAGTTGAGCATTATGATTAACAAAAATAAGTAAAATAGTTATTTTGTTTATATCAAAAAATAAATATAGAAATCAGTTGCTAATACAATATTAAAACTATCCATTGCTATTTGCCAACAAAAAAATTCGTTGTTATTTACCAACGGAATAACCCGTTGTTAATACAATTTTCGAGGGGTTTGTTGCTATTCCGTTGCTATTTGCCAACAGAATTTCTGTTGCTATTTGCCAACAAAATAATCCGTTGCTAATACAATTCAAAGTGTTTGTTGCTATTCCGTTGCTATTTGCTAAAGGAAAAATTTCGTTGCATTTAGCAATGGAATTACCCGTTTTTCTAATACAATTTTAAAAGAGTTTATTCATGATCCGTGATTATGCTTACAAGTACATCTGTAATGGACATTGGCCAACTAGGCATACCAAAAATTAAAATTTTGATATATTTAATTAACATAGTGGGAAAAAAATAGTAATTATTTTTTTAAACTTCTGTAGTTTTTTTTTTACCGAAATTGAATGAAGAGAAGAAAATATGTGGGTAATCATTCACGGCTACCTTCACATAGCTAATTACAGATGATATAGGTTGGGTTACCAATATATTCCCTTATTCACAATGTCGCAAAGAACTTAACTTTTGCTTTTACGGTCAATTAACCCTATAAAAGTATTGTTTTTAAAATGGGCAAGTTGCTCTAAATATCAAGAATTTAAAAGATACATTAATATTTATAGGTTGAGGATCTTTCGACGGGGATCGAAGAAGTGCGTCTTACGATCAACATCGTGGTTGAGGATTTGCAAACGAACTGTGACGCCGGCAACCGGGGCATTCGCGGGGGAGTTCACGGAGGACGTGGAGGCCGTGGTCCAGGCGGATCGCCCCGCCGGAGATCTCCACAACCACCGTCCGGTGACGAAGACGGCGAGGATACCATCTCGGAGGTGAATCCCTTCGGCGAGTGGCAAACTCCGCACATCGAGACTGACCCCTTTGCTGCATATGGCGGTCGTGACATGTGGCGACGGGGCACGATCTTCGTGGACAGCGGCGATCAATGCGATGACAGAGGCAAGCGCGAGGAAGCT